CACCAAACCTGGGGGTAATACACAGAAATGTCAAAGTTGTAAAATTGCATCTTCAAGATTCAGAAACTCCACAGATACAGGGAATTTGAGTTGACCTGGCAGGTCTTCGTTGCATTGGACAAGAGTTACTAAAGCCATCGAAAAGTGTATGTATGGCTTAAGTCCCTCAGGAGTGCTCAAGCCTAGGAAAGCTCTTCTTGCTTCCCTTGGTTTGACAGACTCACTAAAGGTGGGCTTTTCTGTGTCAAACAGAACATGCTAAGAATTCACTCATTGTCCTGGCTATCTGTGATCTACGTTGCTTCAGCTATGCTCTGTAATGGCTCACCCAAAGCCAGATGATGGTAAGCAAAAGAACCACTTGAGACTGGAAAAAGGCCTTCTCCTCACAGGGCAGAGCTATGCACTTAAAATTGTCATCCTCTTCTTCTACCAGGCTGACTAAAAGTCTGGCAACCGTTGATGTTCAAGTTGCAGACTTACAAAAAAGACTAGATTTTGTACAGGGCCTGGATGGTTGATCCCATAAACCCTTGTGCTCTTTAAAATGGTAGAAGGGTTTACAGAGTGTCTCATGGATTCTCATGGATTCAAGTGAGAGCACAAAAGTGATGTACCAAAGGTTGAGGTTAGGAAGAATATAGATCTTGTTCTGTTAATGTGGTGATGCAAGTATACAAATGACTTTTGCTGTGAGTATATATTTTCCTGGGTAGGAGATGTGATATGGGAGGTTAATTCTATTACCTAACTTTCTCCCTTTCTCCTGCTTCTGTTAAGTGGCTTGAGGCAAGAGCAGTGATTCACAGCAGCAGAGAGTTAATTCACATTTTTCTGTAGTAATTTATACTTTTTCTATGTCAGGGAGTTTACTTTTCTCCTCACATGACTTGCTTATGGCCTCAGTGCCTGTTGTTCAGAGTAAAACTGAATTTTAACAGTCTTTTTTAGGATGAACTGAATTTCTTTGTCCCTCAACCCCAGTGTATACTGCAGTCATTCCAGATGTGGATGCTTGCTAGATATTCTGCAAGGATAAAGCTAAGGGAGGGGAGTCTTAGTGGGAGCTTAAAGAGTTCTTGCCCACCTCTAGCAGTAGATCTGGACACACAATAGTCCCTGTTTTGAGTTATTGTCAGCCTAACCCAACAAAAACTGTTCTTAAGCTTATGAGCCTCTGACAGCGCAAGTGGGCTTCTGGCTTACAGCCATTGTATCTTAATGTGAAAATGGCTTAGGGAGAGTTGTTTGGACCTGCCTGTTCCAATCTTACCACTGATAAGATAAAAATACCATTTTTAAGTTGACACAAATTGAGCCAGAAAAATCAGTTCAACTTTTGCAAGTGTACCCTGGGAAAAGGAGGCTTACTGAAAAGGAGTTTTATGGCTTTAAAACGGTGTCCCATTGGGAGGTATTCTGTTGAGTGATGCTGTCTGTGTTCAGTGGTTGTCTTGGAAAAAGAAAGTGGTATTCATGCTGGGTTGTAAAACACAGAAGAGAAGGATGCCAATGCACTCTTATTCAGGGCTCTGAGAATATTATGCAACCAAGGGAAATTATCTTTGATGGTTCTGCAGTGTGTGGGTTCCTGATCTGGAAGCATTGCCATCTAGAGGGATTAGGAAGCACTTACCTGACATCTTTGATCCCTCCATTGGTGACATGCTCTGCATCAGAAACTGTTACAGTTAAACACCTCTTTTGAAAGTGTGGAATTTAATAGCTTTTTGAAGAAACGAGTAGATTGTACTTGATGATCATACTTTGTTACATTTGGCTCCAAACTAACAATGTCCTGTACATCTCATGTATTATCACAGGAGACCCCAGGTCTCTGAAATAAATAGTCCAGATTTTCAGAGAAAAGAAAAATGCTTCTTTAAGAAATATAAAATGTTTGTTCAAAAATTTTCAGGTATGTGAAGTAGAACTTATTCTTTATTTACCAGGAGCAAACAGGCCATTGGAACAACTGTTCAGTGTGATGAACAGTGTATTGAGTGAGAGGAAAAATCAAATGAAAGTAGACAAGTATTAAGGTTGTCCTTCTGCCCAGAGGGAACAGTAGTGAAACTTTTTGCCGTAAGCTAATTTGGAACACTGAGATCTACTGAGAATTCTCCAGTTTAAGAAATAGATTTGGTATTTTCAGAGTAAGAAGCTGGCAGCTGGGAATTGAGCATGGTGTTTTTAATAAACTGCAATTTTTGTCTTTTATGTGACTATTTCATGACCTTTAAAAAATAATCAGAAATATCCCCTGGCTTTTGATTTTTGAAATATGGTGAATGTAATTACAGGGTTCTTGTCTATTGCATTTTTTTCTTGTACATGTGATGAAAGAACTGTACTTGCTCAAACAACAGGGGAGTAATTATACTTCCCTATATTTGCAAAACCCTTAATACTGTACTGGGTGCTGCTACAGTGTGGATTTAGTGACAATTTGGCCTTAGTAACCCAGTGAGGAAATGATTGTGTAGTTCACAGAGCCATTTTACTGAGATTGTTAAACAAACCCCTCAGTTCAAAGGTTAGTTTGGTATTTTTGTCTGTTTGCTGCATTTATTCAGTCACTGTTTAATACTCTCCAGTAGCTTAATGGCTAACTTTATACAAAAACTGCTACAAAATTCTCTTTCTTAAAGACGAAGATGTTTCCCAAATTGTAATTGCTACTGTCCCTGTTATTCACACACACTCATGAGCCTAAAAGAAACCCCCTGAACCTGAAGCATCCTGAGTTCTGCCAGAGTTCACATAATGGTTTAGATAAAGTGCTGTGGCTCAGATCCACTTCTAATTTTTCTCCATTGTTGGCTTCTGGGTTGCTGCTTTAAATCTGAAAAGCAATTCTGTAATTACTTGGTGCAAAAGCATTCATGAGCACAATTGGAATAAACTTATTATCATACTGGTAATTTTTTTATGCCAGGTCTCTTCCTAGTTTATATAACTTAAGAATTATTCACCTTTCCAGTTGTTCTATAAGTATCTTTTGCAGTTTTGGATTGGTTTCTCAATCTGTAAAGCCAATCATGCTGATTACATACTGCTCACTGCTTCATTACAGTGTCAAGTGTCATCCTAAATAAAAAGCCATAGCTGTGGTTTCTGGGTTCTTGCAGAAGTGGAGCAGCCTATTTTGACAAAAGAGTGAGGGTCAACTATTTACTTTTATCCAAAGATTTATTTGAAGGGCAAAATCTTCCTTTTTTTAAGTAAAATTTGGGGAATTTTTCGAAGTAATCAGTTCCTCAAACTTTTAAAGAAAAATACTGCATATCCATGTTACTAGTAATGCCCCATAACAGGAAAACTCAGAACAAGAGTTGACTGAGGAATGGTAAGTATTTTTCTTCCAATTAATTTTTTCTATGCTTGCATGTAGCATAAAACTGAATACAGTGATGAAGAGGAAAAATGACAAAAGGGGTGTCTCTCTTGCTCATTTCTGTCAACCTCCTTTACTTCAGTGGATCTCTGAGGTTGAAATGGAATTACCAGCACATTTTTTGTCTTCTGTGAATTACATTGCTTTCTGTGGAAATGCATAAAATTAATGATCTGTGGAAGAGGTGTTCAGGCTTTTGCTCACTTTATAAAGCTACAAATACAGGTATGGATGGAAAAATAGTCTACAGTCCTCTGTTTTCCCTCTATGCCCTTCTTTTTCCCTCCCAGTGGTCTCTTTTAGTTGGAACTAATATAAGGGAAGGTTGAGGGCAGTTACTGCTGCCTCTAGGAGGGGCTGTCCCATGCATCTTTCCTCCAAATGTTGTCTGCCCTGTGCATCTGCTAGTTGTTGAGACAGTGGTAAGCCTGGCTTTTCTGGAATGGGTCTCCTCCCTCCAACTGATTTTCATTGTTTAAATTTGTGGTTTAGGTTACTGTCCACTTCAATGCCTAGTGTCAGCTTTGCCCATAACATATGCAAAAAGTAGTTATTACAATTTGTAATTTTTAAAAGTCACTGTATTCCAAAAAGGAAAAAAAAAAAAAAAAAAAAGTCAGTTCTAGCCTAATCTCATTTTAGTTTTCATCTCAACAATATTCTGTTTTCTAGTCTTGCAGTGTAACAAAAGACTTTCCCCTACAGTTTGTTCCAGCTTAGCTTGCCCACATTCAAAAGTTTTACCTCGCTTAATGTTACGGTACTGTTCTAGTGCTGCGTAAAGATGCTCCAGGCTGGGGCTTGAAATCCAGATCTCTCTGTATGCTGAGGAAATAAGACTCAGCCTGAATCCAAGCTGGGCCTGTAGGTATGATGGATAGGCTTACTAAGCCAAACAGAGAGTAAACTGAACACTTTTCCTTGTGGTCCATCTCTAAATATTGAGTTTTATATTTCCTGTGGAATCTTCTTTGGTTGAAGCTTTTAATTATGAAAGACTTGTGGTCAGAAGGCATGGCGTGCTCTTGCACATGAAAAACCTAATGGAAGATAAGTTCTTTTTCCACAATTTTGCAATTAGAAGACATTGTAAGAAAAAAGATTTGCTATTGACCATCCCTTTCTAACAGCTCTGCAGTGAATGCTGGTGCCAAGTTCTGCACAGGTAAGTTTCAGAAGAAGAGTTTTTCTTTCGAACAAGAAGAATAAGGAGAAATACACAGTGGGACAGCAATCTCCAGACCTTTGCTGTCACAGGCAATGACCTGTGTGGGATATATAGGCACCTGCAACTAAAAAGGCAATTGCCTGATCAGTGCAACAAAGGGACACTGCTAGGTGATGAGCACCAATGGTTTGTGGAGGGAGAGGGGAGGGAGGGCGGGAGGCTTCTTTTAAGTTTAAGGATAGTGCTTGATGCATGTTTGCTGTGTAGAATGTTATTACTGATAGTGTAAACTGTTTTCGATCTGTCTGTCTTCTCTCTCTTCTGGACTTGGCCGGGCCATGTACAAATCCCAATCATTCAACAGTACTGGAGAGTAGATAGTATTTACCTCAATAATGGTAGTTTCTTTTCGATTCTTTTTAACCCTGAATTCAGATGATGGTTCGAAGCCAACACCTACCATGGAAACCCAGCCTATTTTCGATGGAGAAGGTAAGCACATCCTTTAAAATAACAACCAAAAAAAGCTACTTCCCACTCCCTTTTCCCTAGGATTTATGGCTCAAATGCTTTCTTTATCCTGCAAAGCAGAAAAGCCGGTGAATCTCATAAGTTATCCAAATTTCACAGTGCCCTTGGGACCTCAGGCATTTTCCCTAATCCTTTTACATCCTCCCTTCTTCACTGGAATCCAACAATAACACCAGTTGACCAGATTCCTGGGGTAACCTTGGAGGGAAAGGTGTCACAGAAAAAAAAAAGTGTATCAAGCCAGAAATGGCAACTTCCTTTAGACTGTCCGTACTCCCTCACTCTCTCCACTCTTATGATACCATTGCTGGGAGTTTCATAACCTCTGCAGTGTGTTACAGCTTCATGAAAGGGGGGGTAGTGCTAAACCACAGCTTGTGAAAGTTGACTTGGAAGAAAATTGCTGGGAGGTTTCTTTATTTAGCAATTACTTTCATTGACGCACATACTATTTAAGCAAATGAAGTCAGTGTCCAGGGCCCATTTAATTCACAGCCCACCAACAGTTTCCTTCTCAAATGGGCTAATCTTGCAATTGTAGTATTTTGGAGAGGAAATATCAGACCTTACTCCACTGGAAGCCTTGAAACAAGGATAAAATGTCTGTCATCACAGACCATTCAAGCCTTTCACACACACAAACATAAATACCACTGGGGATATAGTGGTCCTTGTGTAGTGAACGAGCCTATTAGCAGCTACTTATATCTTGCATATTGCTTAGACCTAGTGCATGTTTCCTGCAGATTTAAACCCACAGGCATTATAGTCAAACTATGGGCTGAAGTCCAAACCACTCTGTGACCCACCTGAAACTGGATCATAAGGCAGTGAGGGAAAGCCTGTGCATTTTCATACTGAACTGCTGTACTTGACACTTTTAAAAAACTGGATCAAAGGCAGCAGTGGAGACTACTGAGCAAGGGTAGGTGAGGCTGTTGATATCTCTTCCCTTCTTGTAAATCAGGTGATGGGGTGCAGTGTTTTTATTGCTGAAATAAGATTATTTAATGGCAAGATGCTGTAGTCCTGTCACTTCCATTTAGTGATTGTAGGTTTGTAAGAATCTTCTTGTGAGCTTTAAGAAACAAAGCAAAGCCCTCAGAGCAAAAAGCTTTCTCAAATAAACAGAGGAGATTGAAGCCATGCTGTCTATCTCTTGTTTATATCAAAAGAAAGTTCCTCCTGGCAGCAAGATGATGCTGTATTAAATTGCTGTTTGTAATCACAAACTTCTAGCCTTTAAGTTTTCCCCTGAGAGGGTGCCCATAGGTATTCAAAGGAAAGAATGCACTAGTAAAATGCAGGAGTGAGCTGATCTAGTTAATACAGCATGTTCAGAAGCTCCTTCCAGGAGAGATTCAATATTTTGGTCATACAAATTGAACTGGGCAAAGTTCTTGAAGTGGTGTAGTGAGCAGACCTCTTCTGGTCCTTCTGATGACAAGCAGAGTCTGAAAAAGATCTTATCCTATCTTTGGTGAAAAACATTTTCAATCAAAAACCTTCACATTGATTTGTAGGTGAAATCAAGCCTGATAAATGGACTTGGACTGTAGGATGAAAGATTGCCTCTTACAAATCTTGTAATATATTATGCAAGACCTTATCTCTTAGACTTCTAGAGAGCATGACTAATACAATGGCTTCCTGTTGTATTAGCAGTGTCCCTTATGACTTGGGAGAAGAGAATATGACAGGCAGGTTAATCAAGCTATGCTTTAATGAATAATATCTGCTAAGTTTGTCACTCTGTATTTTTGTCATCCTTGTTAGTAAAATAGGACTAACTAGATTTCAGTGGTGGTTTTAGCAATAAGCACAAGAAAATTCATTCTGGGTCTGACCAGAAGTTTGTGTAATCCACTACCTTTGAGCCGTATTGTCTCCAACAGTGGCTTAAAGATACTCAGGAAGAGCGTAAGAAGCATTTAGCCTGGAGAAGACTTAAAGATGACCTAATAGCAATCTTCCAGTATCTACAGGGAAGTTTATTAAGAAGATGGAGCCAAGTTCTTCATAGTAATGCATGATGAGGGACGAGTCATACACTGAAACAAAATGTTTGTAGTGGATATAAGGGAAAGCTTAGTCACCATGAGGACAATGAGGCAGTGGAACAGATTGCTTTGAGATGTGATATCCTATCCTTTCTTTCCAAGCCAATTGGATAAAGCTGTGAGCAACCTCATCTGTTCTTATAGCTGACCCCGTCTGGAGCAGAAGGTTGGACTAGACACCTCAGAATGTCATCCTGAACAGTCTCTTGATTCCATCTGAGCAAACATATCCTGATACTTCACTAGAATACTCTCCCAGTGTCTTGGGCCTTCCTGAGGAATGGCTTGTACTTGGTGTCTGGCACAAATGTCAGATAACAGAAAAGGGCAAAAACAGTTATCCATTCACCTGTTAGGTCTGGACTCTTCCCAGATGTTCAAAGCATTTAAAGCCCAAATGCCATTCAATTTCTGTGGGTCTGAGATCTGCTGGACTCCTGAAAAGCTCTGTATTTGAAGTCAGGCAAGGGTGGAGCTGATAGCAACAAAAAGGGACAATAAAAATGTGAAATTTCTTTTCATGATCTTTTTTTGGGTGTCTACCTTTAGTCCACAAGGGGCTGACTTTTTTCAAAGGGCGTTAAATATTCAGCTGTCCCTGAAATGTGTGATACCTCTTAGACCTCAACATCTCCAAGATGAAGGTTCACCTTTCTCATGTTTTCACCTACATTAGAGGATAATGAAAATTCACATTTCAGGCATAATAAGTTCCCCTCCCACTCCCTACCATCCTCCCTGAGGGCATAACAAAGCACTGCCAGAGATAATGTAGATCAGATAACTTAAACTCTGCTGTCCAAGGTTTGAATCATAAAGCAGCCATCTCTTTAAAAATTATGTCACTTCATTACAATGCAGATCTCAGTGATGTTTATAGTGAATCTCCTTTTAGGACAAGGTTCTCCTCTGCAGAGGAGTATTTTATTAATGGTCCTTGCTATGGTTTTAAATGAAAAAAAAGTTTTATTCCATCCTGCACTTCTAGGCTGTTTTCTTTGCATCCACCATTTATTTAGTTTCAGTGTGGAAGTTGTATTCATAGTTGAATAACTTTTTTAAACATCTTTTTCATAAACTTCACCTCTTCACCCAGTGGGAATCTTACTCTTTCCACAGATCTGTGGTTCAGAGGAGTCTATGTTGCTTACCTGTATTCAAAAAAATGTCCGGGTTAATTGGATGGAAAATACATTTTTATGATAGATCCCAAAGGATTCATTTCCTTTTATTTTCCTTTCTCCTCTTCTCCCACAATGCCTTTTTCTGCACCTTTCAACCTCACTTAAAGTCTGAAAAGGCCCTGGCCCATTCTTAGGCATCTGTTGACACTGGTTGTCCCTCCATTTTCACCTGTAGACATATCCTGTCCATACAGAGCAGAGTCAGTTAAATTTCATCCCAGGAGTTTGATTTATGGACTTTTTCTACTTTTGTGCTTCTCCCCTTCCTAGCTCTCACCCAGTGTTTAATTTGATGTAGTTTTCCCCCCAAAAGGCCCAAAGTACATAGGTATGTGTATTTATAGGAGCACATCATGTCTGAGTGATGATAAAATAGTGTAGTGAAACCTGCAGATAAGTCAATCTTTGTTAAGCAAGCTTTTGCTACTGTTGAAATATCAGTGTTCAACCTATATTTCCATATGAAGAAGTGCCCTGAACATGATTAAAATAATGCCTACAATCAATGTAGCTGAAAACATTTGGGAAGGAAAGATTCCCTTTCGTTTTTCCTTTGTGCTCTTGTAATGTATAATCTCTTGTAGTCAGTCAGCTTCTCCCTTGCTGAGCAGATCCACGTAAATGTCAACAAGGGAGCAGGAAAGCTTTTGTAAAAGAGTAAGACAAACTCCAGGATCTAGTATTTAAGGCATGTTCTTGTGGAAATGGAAACTTTTTCAGAAAATATAATTTCTAAAAAGGTCAGTTTAGGAGCTCTAGCTCATGGTATTGGGTACTGCTTTGCTCAGTTCTGATCAGATGCTGCTGTTGTGTCATTTCTGTGGCTTAGGGCAGGTTCTGCTGTGTTTTTGAAGTTGATTGTTATACCTCAGAGGAGGTGCTCTAAGCACTTTTTTCCCCATAGATTTCTGTTTGGAAATCTTGGTTGTAGTGCATCAGGCATGCTTTTCTAACCAGAACTTGTTTCTTTGACAGAGTTCCTTTCAAGTCCTTCCAGAAATATCTTCATTATTTACTTCAGATTTTGTTGTTGCTTGTTTTAGGGAACTGACTGTGGTCAGCTCTTCTTGGGTTGTTAAAGCAGTATTTAAGGTCTGGATTTACTTTTTTTTTTTTTAGTCTGGATTTCATATGTATTTAAGTGGAAACAAATATGTACTATAGCACACAACATAACCTTTGAGACCACTAAGTCTTGAGAGGACTTTAGAAAGTTGGGGTTGGGGTGGGGGGGGAAGTTTTGCCAACAGAGAAATGCTCTCTGGAACAGGAAGATAATGAGATAACCTTGTGGAAGATTTACAAATGGTGGTTCATAAGAGGTGGAAGACCTCACCAGGGGATGAGCCGATCTCCACAAATATGATGGATCAGTTAAGGCCTGATTGTAGCAAACATCTTATCCTCATGAGTAACAACCATATTCACTAGTTGCTGTAGTTTTTTTAAGGCAAATATTTTTTCTCTTTCAGAAATCACAGCACCCACCCTTTGGATTAAGCACTTGGTCATCAAAGATTCCAAACTGAACAGCTCCAGTATAAGGAATTCAGGTAATGTTCCATGTAAAAAAAACCCAGTTTTTTAAACTAGGCTGCAGTCCCTCACCATCTGTTCTTGTTTCATTCTTTCTTCGTTGTAGCTATCCTGCTGCTATTCAGTGTTGCAGGATTTGAAGTGCAAGCTACAAAACAATTTCATATAGCATCCTCTTTTGTGTCCAGAAGTCCACAGTCTGTGTGTGATATGTTTCTGTTTCCCCAAACCACAACTGTGGAACCTCTAATTCCTGTTAATTCATCACAGCCAGCTGACATTCTGTTTGCTGTTCAGCAGTTTTTCGTGGATGTACAAACCGATGCGTGTGGCTGTGATATGTGGACTGTGGTTTTGGTCTAAGCAGTTGAGAAAATACAGAGGGGCTTCTTTTCTAGCAACTTCAAGATCCTTCTCTGCAGGGGATATTATTTGATAGAAAAATGATTGGATTATTTCACAACTGAAAATAGGTTACTTATGTCTGGGCCTAAGTAAATGTTGAGATTATTTTTGTGGGTGATAGAGTCAATGAGGAAAGACCCAAGCATAAAAAATAGCAAAGAAAAGATCTTGAACATGAGTGGGAAAAGGGGGAGCAGAAAGATGTGAAGTTAAGGTGTAAAACTTGAAATTGGAGATGAGGGTGAAACTGTATGGAGTCACTGAAATCACAAACTGAAAGAATCTGAAGAGGAACTTTAGGGAGTCTTGTCAAGAATGTTTTTTATATGATATATTTTAACTGATGTGGGAGAAAGGAAGAAGGTAAAGGGAATATCAAAAGCAGAAAATTGCCTTAAGAAGCCATGGGTTTACTTTAAATTTAAAATAGGAGCTGCTACTATTGCATATATTTTATGAAACAATATATGCCTAGAACAGCTGTTGGGAATAGCTCCAGTCCCCAGCACAGATAAATTGTGATAGCCTGAAGTACCTCGTCACCTCATATTTCTGGATTAGCCCGAGAGCATTCATGGCACTTAGCAGTTCCTTTGCCACTTCCCAACTGCAGGGTGAAATCAGTGAGAGGTTAGGTGAGATTCTCTTGCTGCAGAGTGGAGAAGGGCTCTTAGCAGGAGGACATCCATCATTGCCCAGACCCCAGTTTTAGCAACAGTTTCCTATGCCTCACTTCCTGACTGTTTTTGTAGTAGGGTGGTCTGTGTAGGAACTGCCAGTGAGAATCATCCATAAGCTTCAGATGACATAGGAGTATTGGCATTCTTTTTTAAAGATGTCTTTCATGGGAGAGCAAATGCAGCTTGTGTTTTGGGAGCTGCTGGGACAACCAGCAGCTCACAGTGCAATTGAAGGTGGCAGTTTAATATTAAAATCCTATGAAATGGGTCCTACCTGTGTTGGAGACCTAACTTACTTTCTAATGCAGCAAACTTGGTAGCTGCGATGGAAATAACCATTCCTAAATCTGGGTTCCAGGAGGCTGCAAAAGGATGTGGGAGCAGGAAGGTCTGTCTCCCCCCCTCTCTTGGTCCAACAGAACCAAAGCAGGCTGGCTTTCACATTGTAAAGGCAATCAGTTTGTTCAACTGTTTAGTCGGGAAGCTGCCTGAGGTAAACTGGAGTTATGTTCATGGAAGAGTTCCTTTTCTGAGTTTCTTTTGTCCACTTTTTTCTTCCATTTTCTCTGATGTAATTTCTGTTATTCCAACAAGATTGTTGTGGGTACATGCTACAAATTAAAAATAAATGATCTTCTGGAAAATTCAAGAGTTTCGTAAGAGGTGGTTTGTACAGCAAGCTAAAAGGAGGTGTGGTTCATCTGACTCAGTCTTACTGATTGCCCTGACAGACACTCATCTGGTGTAGGATCTCATTAAGGACTGGGCTGCCAATTTTTTAGCCCCAGATTTCCACATTAGACCCTACAAATACACAGCCATCTCAATTTCTTACACCAAATTATTGATGTCAAGAAATGCTACCTCATCAAAATAAGACTATGGTTTACCTGATATTAGGTGTGGGCTACTTTAGTCTGTTTCTTTCAGCCAGTGAAGCATAGTCCCCTTGGTAGGTACCTTTCATTCTTTTCATCCCTTGTCATATACGTTATAAAGCAATTAGGGTAGGTGGGATCAAGCAACAAAGAGTTGGGAAGGATAATTATAATTTAGAATCGGGTTCTTCAAATGTCTTCAAGTCTGTCTGCTGAAGATGATGAAACAGCTGCCGAGATGGGCATGCAAAATTCGGGGATGTTTTAAATTGCTTTTAATTGTTTTAATTTTGCCCCTTGTCAGCTTGAAATATTACTGCTCAGCAAATTTCTGATTTTTCATTTATTTTTTAAAGGGTTAAGGTAGGTTTTGCTAGTGCAAGATTGGATTTTTGTTTTTGGCATTCACTCAGCTGTATTGTTTCTCTGAGCTTGCACCTACTGTCTTGAAACAGATACAGCCTGCTATCCTCTTGCAGCAATTTAATGGGATCACTGAAATTAGATGTGAGAGAAGACCTAGTAGGTCATTTAATCTACTGCCTTAGGGCTAGTGAATGTTGGTACAGTATGTAGAGTGGCATTTTCTAGTGTAACATAAATGCCTTAAGCAATCAAGATGTCACTTCATCCCACAGAAAGCTGCTCTGCTGTCTCAACTCAGTCTTAGGATTTTTCTTTTTGTAATATCCAGCCTAACTCTTTTTTTTATTTCTGTTGTTTTTCATTAGTCTTGAGTTCTTGAAAGCCTGCCCTGTCCCTTGGAGTTTGTGTACTGAAACACTTAACCCTGATCTCTCTCCTCCCTGTGGTGGTTATACAGCCCTGTTCCTTTACAGTGAAGAAAAGTCCAGTAGATACTACTGTTAGAGAACGTGTGCTGCTCTCTAATCAGCACTGACACTGGACATCTTGGAAAACTAGCACCATCACTGCATCAACCATGAGGAGGATTTAAGAATTGCTACATGGAGACAAATAAGCTCTGTTATTTGCTATCATTTGTCTCTGGTCAATGTTAGGCTTCAAGGTGAACCAACCACCAGGCAGCTGAGCATTGCAGAGCTGATGACACACCCTGTGTTGCATACACAGCCTGTATCTTGTAAGAGCTGCATTTGAAATCTGAGCGTTCCATCCTCCATTTACTGTTGACAAACAGAAGAGGTTCTCCTGAAATAGTCTTCTCTCTTGGAGCATTTATGCTTTGCTTGGCATGTGTAAATACTAATTAAGCTAGGGATCAAGAAAAGCAGAATGACTTTAGCCTGGTGATTAGAGCACTTGACTAAGAATCTATATGTCTCCAGGCACATTGCCAGTGAATTTTTCTATACTAAGTAAAACAGCATTGCTAGGAGAGATTGCTAGAGCTGTTACCCCAGCCCATCTTAAAAAATGAAATGATGACTGGATCTCTTTCTCAGTAGGGTGAGATGCAGGTTCAAGTCTTCTCAAACAGAGGCAGAAACCAAAATATAAACATCCTCTAACATCTGAATTGTTAAGCAGCAGAAAAGTTACTGGTTTTCTACACTTATGCACTAAGTCTTCTGCTTTATGAATCCTAAAAGCCCAAAAGTCAGTTTTTCTTTTTGGGGCGAGTGAAAGATCTAGGTAAACACAATATTTTGTTTGCTGTGGCAAGATGACAGAAGCATTATTTGGTGTTTGCTTTGAACTGATTTTCACCTTCCCTTAACATGTCCCTTAACATGCACACCTGTATGTGCACACACATGGATACCCCAGACTAAGCCTGTTATTTATCACTGTTCTCTGTGATGTGTCATTTACTTTTAACACTGTCAGAGCAGGAGGTGATACAGATGGGACCTCTGCAATGGCTGTTCTCTAATCAGCATGGGTGGGAACTGTCTTTTCATTCTACTTTTACTGTTTCAGCCTCCTATTTTCCTATATACACACACACACACACTCCCTCCCTCCAGCCTATTCCAGCCTGCAAAAGTCCAAATGATTATTCTTTTACAGTTCAATCTAGGGAAGCACTTAATAATGTATCCTGCTTCCAGGAAAATAAATCTAATGGCTGCCTGTTTGGGAGCACCCATCTCTACTGAGGAATCCATAGTTATTCTTCATCTCCAGAGCTGAGTTATCTCCAAATCCATTTGTGCTACTTAGTGATTTGGTTTTAGTTAGCAAGAGATTCCAGCTTGTACCCAGCTTACCCTGACAACCTTTAAGAAAACCACAGAGTGATGTAATGAGCTCATGCATGGAAAAATAAACAACTCTAGAGAAACCAGCAGTAGCAGCCTCAAGTAAATATTCTGCAGTCACTGGGGTTTTGTACATGACGTTATTTGAAAGGAAGAATGAGTAATATATTAAGGTTAGCAGCTGAAGACAGGTTTGTGTGTGCCTAGCTAAAAAGGAAAAAGAAAGAAACAACGCACAGCTGTTTATTTCAAAATCTTGCTTGTTGAATGGGGGCTAACTCCATGTGGCCTGCTCTGTTCAGCTCTGGCACCAAAGCATCATGCAGACATATCATGTGACAGTTTTCCAGTGATAGAGCTTTCTGGTGTCAGGAGCTCTTAGTGGACGGAGTATAACTGTAAAAGAGTTTTGAAAGCAAGAATGGTGGTATTCACATTTCTTTTTGTTAATTAAATTTACTTGGAGCCCAAACTTCATGGCTTCTCAAAGGGAGAAACAGCTTGAAAGCTGCATATACTTTTGCAAGAAGCAGAAGCACAACCCACCATCCACCCTAAAGGGAGTCTATGTACTCTTGGATGTGGTTTGTATCCAGAGATGTGCACAGTGAAGTGGGATGTGATTATATCACGTGCCCCACCAGGATCTGGGTTATTTGGTTTGTCTGTATTGATTTTTTTTTTTTTTCCCCCACTTGCAGGAAAAAACCCGCAAGAAAACCCACGTGGCACCCCAAAATAGCTGCTTCTTTTCTAGTATCCACCTAGGAAATGATACCATTTTGCTGTATGCCTTTGTTAAGGATCAGGGACAGTAATTGCTCCTAGGGGGAATGTACTTGTGGTATGTTGCCTTAGCCATATGGAG